TACTTGGTTAAGATAGGTACCACTTTTGCCTTACGCCAATCCAGTGGTACTATGCCAGTCATTAAAGAGTCCCTAAAAATTAGAATAACAATGGCTTTGAAATGACAGAGCTCAATACTTTAAGGACCCGTGGGTGTATGCCATCCCGTCAAAGTGCTTTATTCACCTTTATTCTGTCAAAATATTTCTGGATCATATCAATTGTGAGCTAATGTGGATCATCTGGAGCTGTGTCAATACCATCCCCATTATGGACCAGAGTTCCCCATGTTCCTTTGCATAAACAGTTGAAGAAAGTATTTAATACATTTGTCTTCTCTTTATCCACAGTCACCCACTCTAGATTATTTTGTAAAGGGCCTACATGCTCGGACCAGATATTTTTTAATAATATATTTGAAGAATTTTTGGGGATTTGTCCTGCTATCTTTTGCAATCTGTCGTTTATTTTAAATTTTTGCAGCCTTGATTTCCTTTTTACCTAGTCTGTTATATTTTTTGTAATGTTTAAATGATAGTATTCTTTCATTTTTATATTTAATCAAAGCTCTTTTCTTATTATTTATATATTTCTTTAAGTTTGGCTGTAAGCCACATACAGTAGGTTTGTTTTTTAGCATTTGAAACTTGTTGCCCATGAGAATATATTTTGCAGAGTGTTCTTTTTGAAGAACTCCCATTTCTGTGTTGTGTTCATCAATGCCAATGTTCCCTTCCAGTCTAGTCTTGGAGAGCAGCTCTCAGCCTTGGAAAATTAGCTCTCTTAAAGTCGAGCGTTTTTTATTTTTCCTGTATGTGCTTGTTGTTTACAGATAACAAAATGAAATCATGTTATGGTCACCGCTACCCAGATGTTCTTTTATATGGACATTAGTAATAAGCTCTGCATGGTTTGAGATTACCAGGTCCAGCAGAGCATCATTCCTAGTTGGGGCCTCTATGAACTGTACCATAAAATTGTACTGTAGTAGGTTTATAAATTTTTGCCCTTTAACTGTTCCTGCAGTGCCTTTACTCCAGTCAGTTTTCCAAGTAGTTAAAATCCCCCATTATTATCACTGTCCCAGCCCTTGCAGCCCTTTCGATCTATGCAAGGAGCTGAGTCTCCATCTCCTCATTAACACTGGGTGGCCTATAACAAATTCCAATGATTACCTTTGTAGTACACACACCCATGTGCAGTTCCACCCACAATGCTTCAGCCTCATCACATTCTACATCAACTAGGTCCTCTTTCACACTCGCTCTAAGATCACTTCTCACATAGAGACAGACACCACCACCTTTCCTATTTACCCTGTCTCTCCGAAAAAGAAAATAGCCAGGAATACTAATGACCCAGTCATGTAAAGAATGAAGCCAGGATTCAGCAATATCAATTAAATCCTAGTTCTCTTTGTTGCACCAAAGCTTCCAACTCCCCTATTTTGCTTGGCAGACTTCTGGCATTGGTGAACAAACACTTTAATTCATTGACACCTTGTGCACACATATTTTGCATATGTTTATTTTCATACAAATGGTACCAATTCCAATGGTTGTTTGTAACATGAGAACCTTCTTATCACCTGCCATAGCCCTCCCTCCATCTTTCCCCATTCCACCCATCAATATTGACTGACCCCTGTCTGATCTGTCTGCCCCAATATAATCTAATTCTCCCTCCCCCCTCTATCCTAGTTTAAATACTTCTCCAGCCTTCCCATAAACCTCTCCCCTAGCACAGCAGACCCCCTTACATATAGGTGCAAACCATCTCTAGCATATAGGTTTCACCCCAATGAAAAGTCGGCCCAGTGCTCTAAAAACCCAAATCCTTCCCTCTTACACCAGGTCTTCAGCCATGCATTGAGTTCTCTAATCTTCCCCTGTCTCTCCTGAGTTGTGCATGGCACAGATAATGTTTCAGAGAATATCACCTTGGAGGTCCTTTCCTTCAACTTGCAGCCTAGTCCGTTAAATTGATTCTTAAGGAGCCTCCACCTTCCATGTATTCTGTCATTGGTTCCAACATGCACCAAGACAGCTGGGTCATGCCCAGCCCCTCCCAGCGACAAATTATTCTATCAGTCCTTCTGATTATAGAATCCCCTACTACCACCAGCTGTCTAGGCCTTTCTGCACTACCCTGACCACCCCTCCCAGATGGTCTGCCCTCCCGGCTGTTAGGGATAGCAGTGACATCCAGGGCTTTCACCTCTGAGCTTGCCACCCCCACATCTTCACCCAACATGGCAAATCTGTTTGGGTGCTCAAACCCAGGGCCAGCCTTCCTTTTCTGTGAGCCCCTACCACTGCCTCTTATTACATTAACCAATCTTGCTATCTTATAATTCTGACTAGCCCCTCCACCCTCCATATCAATCCCATTAGCTACCTGCTCACAGAGCAGAAGACCCCTTTCAAGGTTGTCAGTTCTGCCCAGTGTTGCAACTTGCTCCTCTAGATTTCTAACGCGAGCTTCCAGAAGGGCAACCTGCTCACATCTGCCACAACGGTATCCATCCTGGGCCTGTTGCTCCATTGTTGCATACATGTGGCACGCTGTGCACTGCACTAAACCTCCAACTCCACTAGCACTCATTATCCCAGTTACAATATTATTACTAATAGGAAATATCAGATGTCACTTACAGGTTTGTAGACTCCTGTTATAGACTTCTGTTTTCCACTCCAGTTTTTTTAACTCCACTTATCAAATGTCCACTTAGTCAAAGTTCCAGCAAGTAAAATACAGGGAAGCTCAAGAATGAGCAAGCTCAGAGTGAGCTCTACAGAAAGTTTTATATAGTACTTGGAGCACCTGTGACCAATTAACCCATCTTCTTAATTAGCAGACAGAAGGAAAGTAAAAGGAAAACAAATAGCTAGCAAGACCCCAAAGAAGAAGATAAACTACAATCACCAGTAGACAAAAGCAAAGCGGTTTTTTCACTCTCCACTCCAATTTCCTACTGGTTTTAGCTTTCAGCCAGCAAAATGTGCCAGACGTGAAGGGCAGTCACCTAGAGGGGACATGCACTGCAATGATATATGCTCTAACTTAGGGGTAGGCAACCTCGGCACTCCAGTTGTAGAACTACAAGTCCCATGATGCATTGCAAGGCAGACAGCCCTATGCATGACTCTTAGAGGCATGATGGGATTTGTAGGCTTGCCATAGCTGGAATGCCAAGGTTGCTGGCCCAAACCTTTATACATTTAAAGCTCCCCACATATTTTTTTGTTAGCGTTGCACTTGTTAAGGCTGTTCTACGTCATCTGGTCGTAAAGGGGATAAATATCCCCAGCAGGGTCACAAAAAGAAAAGAAATGTGAGTGATGAGTTCTAACCTTTCCACATTCCATCCAAAACAAAAACAAAAAAATAGGCTTTAATGTTACTTTAAATCAGAAGGCAATCCTGAAAACAAAGTTTAGCCAGCAGGAAGGGTCTTTTGGTAGTAGAGACTGTATAAAACACTCTTGCAGTTGGGGGAGGGGGGGTGTCTAAAATACACGGTCGAGGCAGGTTTTTTCCACCCCACCAACTGCTTCCCCTTAAGCTGCAAAGGTAGTGGATAGGGGTGTGCTTTGCATTGTGCAAAAATTACCCTGCCAGTCATGCTTGATGAGCAGTACCGAATGTGACCTGTTCAACTGTTTGGGGCTGTACCACAACTGCATGCAAAGCTGGCTGTCCTCACCACCTTTTACTTCAGCTTAAGTCCTTTTATGAAGCTTTAATACCTAATACACACAATGGGTTTGCTATAAAAGAATCAGAAATATAGAAACTGTTTTTTTCAACTTATTTTGAAAGTCTGAGCTCTGGGCCATCATCCTGATTCTTCCTTTAGTGCTTGGCATATCGCTGATCCAGAATAACTTTGGGTGCATGATCCCTGATTCATTAATTAGTGAAGCCAGGGCAGCCCTGCTGAGTCTGTATCTTCAATACCAAGTTAGAGACGGTTACCATATTTTTGTCTTCTTTTAATGAGACTGTCCCCTGCCCATTCAGGGAAAAGTGACAGCATCCCCTGATGGGTAGTGGACGGTGTCCTATTAGTTTCCTAAAGTCTAGCACAGAATGCCAAGAGCTAGGCCTGGAATGACAGCTGTTAGTTTTTCCTCCGAAACCTGGAAAATATATAATCAATGTGGGAATATTTCCCATTTACTAGAGTGCAGCAACAACTCTGAAGAAGGGAGTGCCTTTTCCTCTAAGCATGTTGGTTTGATGTACTTGTCAATATTCTCAATAAATGTCTCTTAATCTACCATCAAAAGTGCATTCTTTTGAACATCAGGCAATCCTTCTTTCCTATTATTCTAAGAGCTGTATGTGTAGCATCTTTACATATGTGGCTCTAAACATTAGATCATCCTTTCCCAAATTTTTTGTCCTAGAGGCACCCTTGAAATTTCAATTCTTAGGGAATTCTACTAAAACCAAGCCATTGGGAATCAGTAGGGAAAATGCCCCTTATATTGGTGGCCAGTGGAAAGTATGCTCCCCTTACAGTGGTGGTCACAGTGCTACTCTCCAGATGGTTCAAAAGATTTCTAGTGTCATCGAACTGGCTTGGCCAAGTGATGCTAGCCCTAGAACTATTCAGACACCATCAGATGGGAGTTCAGTTGACCACAGCTCAAGGAATCCTTAGCAACCTCTGGAGGAACCCTGGTTGGGATTGGTAGCCTTAGGTGTTGATTTGAATATCGTATAAGACAGTATTAGTGTCCCACATACTGTATATCTTATGTAACAGTTGTCCTTCAATGACAAAGTCGTCCTACACTAGACGGCAACTGTGGAATGGTCATGGTCACTGCTCTAAAACTCAGAGCTGACTTTTCTCACACTATTTCAAAGATGTCCTTGTCTGAGTCTAGTCCACATAAATCGCTTCATAATTTGTGAACTGTATAAAAATATGGAAAATCCTAACAAATGTATTCTTTGTTTTGAAAACCACGTGGGAACCTTTTTATACTAACCAGTCTTTTCTCTGCAGTTTTCCAAGGAAATCCTGGTCAGCATCTACTCCGCTTACATCGACAATTTCCTCAATGCCAAGGACGCTGTTAGAGTGGCCAAGGAAGCCCGTCCCGCCTTTATAAAGTTCCTGGAGGTACACCCAACTCATAACAAAATACACCTTTTCAAGGGGGACCTGTCATGATATTATCATAGCCATCACTGCCATTTTATTTGTTAATAGGGTGCCATCTGTGCTTTATCCTATCCTATTCCAACATACTAAATACATTCCCAATGCACACTTTCCTGAGAAGTGGCTGTATATATGAGTGGGTACTACAGCGACCACCGTCTTGATAGAGCAAGAGAATGTCACTAGCACAGCATGGATTTCCAGAAAGATCCAAAGCTTTGTTCAGTGATCACATAGAAGCAGCCTCTGTGTCCAAGCCCTGATGGGCGAGGTGAGCCGCATCAGGGGGCATGGCCGGAGCAGTACTGGCTGAGGCCACACATTCTATCAGCACTGGGTCGGTTTCAGTGGCGTCTCACAATAAATACGTTTGACACTTCTGGGTAAGCAAACCTGATGCCTGCTCCCATCTTCTGAATATTGACCAGGGAGACATTAAAGCATCAGCTTAGAGCAATGCGCCAAAGCTTTATTCAGTGATCACATAGAAGCAATGTTTCAGAGCCTTGCAGGACCCCTCCATCAGGCATGTGACGTCACATACCCAATGAAGGGGTTCTGCAAGGCTCCAAAATGTTGCTTCTGTGTGATCACTGAATAAAGCTTTGGATTATTCTGGAAATCCATGGTGTGCTGATGACATTCTCTTGCTCTGATTATCCTATCACACTGACCCAGTGCAACCTGCAGTCAGGGAAGGCAGAACTACTGATCTACATGTTTGTTCTGGGTCACCAAGTAAATATTGGAAATACCATATGTCAGATTTCCTGACAGGTTTTCTTTAAAGAGCGGTCTAGCTTGGACCAATGTAAGTATGCATATCTCATATCTGAGTGATCACTGTGCAATCTGCAAATCACTGTAGTTGTAGGCGCTACTAGAATGATAGCCCTGATCTTCCTTTGCCCAGTGGATCCTCTTCTGCATGGTGACCAGAGTGACCCCCCTGCACTGCCAGAATTCACAGAATACTTCGTATTTGTTTTGAGTACAAGGTATTTTCTCATTGAATGAGGTGGAGACCTGGTGCTGTGACATAATGATCTGCACCTCATCCAGTCAGAGGACATCTTATATACCTTAAAATAAAAATGAAGTGTTCTGTGAATAGCACTGCTAAGTGATCAACCCCTTGTGGTCACTGCAAGCTGCTCGGCACAAGACCCAGAAGATCACAGCTATCACTATTGTAGCTCCAACTACCACAGTAATTTGAAGCTTTCACAGCAATCACTTAGGTATGATTGATTGAGATATATATATATATATATATATATATATATATCAGTTGGTATAAATATGATTGTCCAGTTCAGTAGGCCCACCAGCATTGGATCCAGTGCACTCAGTGGTTATCACTAATTTACCAGTCCTGGTTTTGCACCCCCTCTTTTTCTTGGTCTCCGTGTGGATACTTGTGATGAAAGAAAAGACAAAAATAATATAAAAATAATTGAGTCTTCAATCAGGCTGTGTCACGTACCTGATTGGAGACTGAAATTACGAGGTCGGCCTTAATTGTGTCCCTAGCCCTGACCCCACTGGAGGTGGAACAGAGGGTGTCTAGGGACCAGGGGGACAAGAGCGCCAGCAGATGTTGTTTGCAGCTCTGGCAGTTGGAGACTTTGGAAGATTGATGAACCTCCGATTCAGGCACAGTAGTAATATGCAGAGCTGGTATGGTAGATCGCCAGGTGTGCACCAGAGCAAGGCAGGAAGCAGGATGGGAGACAGGAGCAGTGTCAAAGGAATAGCCGGGGTCATCAACGGGCGGACAGCGAGGTACCAAATCATAAGCAAGCCAAAGTCAGGAGCAGAGCCGAAGTCAGGAACCAGTATCAAACAGGAGAGTAATCAGAGTCAGGTCAGCAACAAGGAAATCACACAGGAAACGAGCAGGAAACAGGGAACAGCTGAAGACCAATCAGCACTCGGCACAGGCAGAGGCACCTTTTAAATAGTCCGTCTGGTGCCAATCTTCACCGTGCGTGATCGTGCATTTCTGTGCACATGCTCACGTCTATTCACCAGACATCTCACGGGAATTCCCTTACAGGCTGTAAGTTACAAGGATGTTCAACCACTTCTCTACTGCCGTTATAAACATGTATTTTTGGAGTGCCGATTATGAAAAACACTGTAGTGTGGGAGTATTGATATACTATACGTAGCTGTATATTGTTAACATTTGAGTGTGAGTTCACTTTAAATATGGTTTGTCTTTGGTATTAAACCCGAACGAATACACATAGTCCCTACACTAAATCTGCAGCAGTAACTGTTTATATGTCAGAATTAAGACTGTAAATGAATTCTCTTCACTGGCTGCAGTACACTAAATTCCCAGAATCCTGTGCTCTGCCAAAGGGCTGTTTATCATGACGCATCTTTGCTCTGGATAGTTTTATTAAGCCCAATTGTATTGTTGGCAATATTATTATTGTAATGTGTCTGGAATACATTCTCCCTGGCCTGACTCAATCAGTTATTTCAAGGTTGTGCTGCAGTCGAGCAAATTGATTTGGATTATTTGGCACTGCAGGAATGGTCTGGGAATGGAGAGAATTCATTCATAGAAGGGCCTGAAAATTGAAACACACTTTTACACGAGGGGGAATTAATCAAGCTATATTCTTGAAGTGGCAGGTACAAAGAGCTGTGCAGCAGACCAAGTTCATACATTTGGGATGAATTGATTCTGATAGCTTGTATTTGTAGTCACCTAGTGTACTTGATCACCAGGAACACTGCTACGTTTTGATGATCAGGATTGAATGAATCAATCTGAATAACAAAGAAAGGACCTCTTTACTGGTCCATAAATGAATCTTTTGGTTCTTCGGAGATAATCATTTTTTCCCAGCATCAGGAGAATAAAGGAAAGAAGATTATGTGTTGCTTGGTAGGGGACATTTAAACATGGCCCGATACTACTGCCATGGCAAATTGCTTCTGCAAGGATGTAGAAGAAAATATGTAAAGCATTTTTTACCCATCTGAAATGACTGCAGACCATGCACAAGACTGGATCTCCCCTCATTTGTAACAAATTCCATAACAAGTTTTTGATCTTGACTGAACTCTCCCAACTGAAGTCTTTGCCCCCGCCTGACATCTTTGCTCCTGCCCGACGCTTTTATTTGCAGCTATCTAACGTAAAGTAGTTGTAAACCTCAGACATGAAATATGATCAAAGCATATTCCTTTAAAGTGTGTGCTTGTCTCAATTAAAAGCACAAAGTGTTGTTTCTGTCTGCTGCTGACAATTTTTTCTGACACCTAGAGAAAAATGGTGACAGGGGAGGGACGTCCAGCAGATTGACAGCCTCAGATTTGTTCTTGTGAGCTGTGTGAAGGGGGTTTGACTCTTCCATCTCAGAGCTCTCCTCCCTGACCTCTGTAGAGTGTAACTTCTGCTCTCCACCCCCTTTTTTCTGAACTCTCCGACAAGCTTTGGATGGACTTTGAATAGCTGTAGAGGAGAGAAGACTGCAGATAGACAGAGACAACTTATGTAGGAGGATTTGTTTAATCTCTGTGTATCATCTGAGGATAGTCCCTTCACTGGGTATGTGTAAGGGTTTACAACTACTTTAAACTTAAAATTGACCTGTTCGTTAAAGGGTCGGTCCACCCAAAGCTAATATTTTGAGTCTGCACATGTTCCTCGGCTATTACAAGGGGGATTCAATCTCTCTTCTGGATTTTGATTTTATCTTATATTATGGAGAAACAGCAATAGTAAGAGTGGGAACACCAAATGTGGATGGGGACACATGACACTCCAAGGTAGACAGGAAAAAAGCTGGGAACTTTAGCAGGAGATCTCACCACTGGAATCCCAAGGAAACCAGTGGGTGAGTGGACCTCACAAAGACCTCCTGCAACTGAAATATCAGTTTTGTGTAAACCAGTTCTTTAATCCTGGCATAGAATGCCAAATCATTAATAATTCTGTATGCACTTATATCTAGTTATTAAGTAGTGTATTTATGAAAAATTTTAATTATATCTAAGATTATCAACATTAGTTATATGTTCTCAGAATGTATGCAGAATGCGTACTCCGGAAAATTTTGCATTAAAAAAGTCACTGTAAACAAGACCATCAGAGCCAAAAACCAAGTCTTACAGCTTCCATTTATAATAGTCTCTATCATAAGTGACTTTTCTTGCTATTCCACCTTTTATAGCATATCCTCATATGTTGTTTTCTCTTCCTTTCACAGCAATGCACACGAGAAAACAAGGAAAAGCAGGCCCTGTCAGGACCTCATGATCAAGCCTGTCCAGAGAATCCCCCGCTATGAGCTGATTGTGAAGGTAGGTGGACGATGGCCCTTAGAGGGAAAGGACTGCATTGTAAACAAAATAGTTGAACAGATGCTAAAAGGTAGCTTCAGCTGGGCTGTCCATGTGTCACCATGTTTGTACTTGTTGAAAGACAGAGCTATGTGGCTACGGCACAAGAAGTATGGTTGTAACTGTGGAGCAACTTGCAAAATGACTATGTGGGGCACCCTTTTTTATGAATTAAAATACACGTTGACACATGGCACTGCCTGTATCCAATACATTATCTACCACCCCTATTTAGACAGGCTTCTTAATACCTGACTAGACAAAACAAATGAACAGTCCAGAATGTGTTCATGGGGGTTTTAGGTGGCAGGCTATCTGGTGTACATGGTTGATATTGGGAATAGAAGAGCCGTTCAGTAGGTGGACTCTGCCTCTTCAGTGAGGTAAATTTCACGATGCTCATGTTTGACTACAGTGGCCTTTACAGTTTATGTAAAATCGCATATAAGCTTTAACATGTTAATTTAATTTGAAAGCAATTTATAATGATTTTAATCCTGCAGCTAGTAGTTCCTGGTGATTTTACCACAACGGTTTTTTGTTCAGGCTTATCCTGTTATGGGGTGACAACTGTCTTCCAGTTGTGCTCCTATGTTGTCACCCTGTTACAGGAGCTCCTTTATGGAGACTACAAGTGACGATTTCAACACATCATGCAATTGTTACAGAATTATCAGTAATTTAAGTGTGAGGTATGACAAAGATACAACTTCCAGTGTCTGTGTCAAGAGGAGAACAGAAAACCATATGTTGCTCATTCTGAGTATAAAATGAATCACACTATATAGATAATTACTTTCTTTATATTGGCAGCGCAGGCCAGATGGAGAAGCTCATCAATTTGTGTTAGAGAGTTTTCATTATTAACATATAGGATACTAAACAGAGAAAGTGAGGGTCAAAACAAACACAAAACTAAACAAAGATAGCATAAATCAAGTGTACTTAACCTGTATCAAGAGGAGAACAGATAACACATTTTGCTCACTTGCTCATTCCGTCCGTGTTTAAAGTGGAATTCCACCCAAAAGGGGATGTTCTGCTTTAAAGGATAAGTTCACCTTTGGAACATGTTACATGTTCCACCTGTTTTAGGGTGGAACATATAACATGTTCCCATAGCCGCAGCCGCGCCTTCCATCCCCCTAAAGACAGATAGTACGGGGAGAAGTTTCCCAGTACGGGAAGACGTTTCCCCGTACTGTCTGTCAGATTTGAATACTGCATCCCAGAAGAAGACTGTGGGACCATTCACCACGTGCAGCGCTACTCGTGCATGCATAGTGGACACCTGTCACTGAAGTCGCAAGCTGTCACTGCCAGGTGCCAACACATAAGATGCCTGCGCCAGGGACAGAGGTTATCCAGCGAACCCAGCTGCGGTGAGCACACCACTGGATCGAGGGACAGGTGAGTGACTGGTTTATTAAAAGTTAGCAGCTACAGTGTTTGTAGCTGCTGATCTTTATTTTTGAAGCTACGCTTTAATGTGAGCTTGTTGGTTGTTAGTCCCCTGAAGTCTCACAACAAATCATTAGTGCTCCCTCTAGTGGGAGGTTTATTCATTTACTTGCTTCACAGGCTTGGTCCACTGTTGTCAGGATAAAATAATTCCTGGTGACTCTGCCATGAAGGTCATTGTATATGCATTTCCTGTTATAGTATGATTACGTTCTGCCCCTTTCTAGCAATTGTTCTTCTGCACTGCCATTTAAAGTAGCAATGGAGACTACATGTGCCTGTGCCAATGCTCATTAAACATGTAAACCCTGAGACATGCTAGCAGGCATGGCTGGAGTATATGTAGACCAGAAGAGGCTGCAGGAGATTTGCAACACTGCCCTGCAACAAAAATAAAAAAAAAAAAGCAAAAATGGTATTCTATACCAGTGGTCTCCAAACTGCGGCCCTTTGCTTGCTTTTTTATCGGCCATTGGGGCGCATCCACTGATACCAACGATGAGGCATAATTCCCCCCCACTGACACCAACTAAGGGGCACAATTCCTCCCAATGAAACCAATGGGGCACATCCTCCCAATGGGTGATGGGGCACACTTCCTCCCAATGACGCCAGTGATGGGGTACAATTCCTACCAATGACACCAACTATGGGGCACAATTCCTCTCAATAACACCAACGACGGGGCACAGTTCCTCACAATGGGTCGCAATTCTTCCAACTGATACCAAAAATGGGGCACTATCCCTCCCACTGACACCAAAGATGGGCATTGTCTATTCTCACTGATGTTAGGGCGTTTTCTACTCCCAATGGCCACAGTTCAGCCCCAATAAAGTCTGAAGGACAGTAAACTGGCCCTTTGTTTAGAAAGTTTGGAGACCCCTGTTCTATATCATTGGGTATTTTTTTGGATACAGGCTGCCGAAAGTAAACTCTGTGTCATTTATTTGGGGTTTACATCTACTGTAAAGCAAACAAGTCTCTTTTTTTAAAAAGCTGAAATACACTGAATCTGTGCACCACAAACCATAAAAACAAATTCATTTTGAATATTCAAAGAAACCCCCCACCCCCCATCCATCCGTGTCTCCATGCTTTATTTTGCTGAGAAATCACTTTGGAAAAAAAAACCCTAGCATTTCTGGCTGTGGCATTCTTGAGTTAGGGCAGATTATTATTATTATTATTATACAGTATTTATAAAGCGCCAATAGTTTGCTCAGCGCTGTACATTACAATGGGAGGCAGAACATGTGACAGAACAATACCAATACAATGCAAAACATGAGGGGATTGAGGGCCCTGCTCTTTCGAGCTTACAATCTAGGAGGGAGGGGATGGTGGCACAGGTGGAGATAGCTGTGGGGGATGGAGTGGTAGGAAGAGTGGAGGAGGTTGGCAAGTTAGCAGGGGGTGGGGTACGCTTCCCTGAAGAGGTGGTGTCAGGGATCTCCCTCGATCCCCGCCGCGATGGTCCCGGCGCAGGCGCATTGCACCGCCCTGTGCAGGGACACGGGACAACGGGCACTAGGTCCGGGCCGGCCGCGGCGTTCGAGTTCGCGCATGCGCAGTAGAAGCCGCGACCGCCCGCTGGCACCAATGGCAGCGCAGGGCGGGATATTTTAAATGGCCCTGAGCTGTCATTCAGTGCCTTCTGGTCTTCCCTGCATCCTGTATCCTACGAACCTGTACCCTGTAAGTTTTTGACCCGGATTGTACCTGACCTTGCTGCTTTCTCCTATTCTGACCCTTGCTTTGCCTGACCTCTCTCCTGAATGCCCCCTATTGGATTTGACCTGCTGTTGCTGACCTGGCGTGTGACCCGACCATTCTATGCCCGCTGCCTTGTACCTTGCCGTCCTCTCTGTTACTGACCCGGCCCGTCTGACCTTGCTCATCCATCCATCCATCCATCCCTTGCAGTGGGGTCTTCTGACCTCATATCAGACTCTTCCCCGTGGGAGCCCTTGGCGCATACCACTACCACTGACGGACGCACCCAGTAGCCACGACCTGGTCTCGGGGGGCTCCAAGTCCATCCCCACCATCAGGGGCCCTGGTGAACAAGCACCCTGGGACTTAGATTCCGTGCGCTGGGTACGCCTATTCAGTGGAGTGCTAGTGGTACCGCCAGGCGGTCCCTTACAGTACCAGAAGGCCATGACTGAGTCTAGAGGAGGGCCCTCGCCGCTTGAGGAGATCTGCAGGCACCTGTCTAATTTGACACAGGCCGTATCGGCCCTGCAGGATAGATGTCAGCAGATTGAAAACCAATTCCAGACCTGCACTATATCCGTTCCTGCCCACAGGCCGCGGTCCCCGCACCCCCGGCCGTAGCAGCCCCTGTGCCGGTTTCTGGGGCGTCCGCACCACTCCCGGCGGGCCGAACCCCGAGTACCTTTACCGGAACGTTTTCACACGGGGACCGCACACGCTTCAGGTCATTCCCTGAGTCCTGTCTTCTCTATTTTGAGTTACAACCCCCGGACCTTCGTGACTGAATCCGTGAAGGTGGGGTTCATCATCTCCCTCCTGCAGGGTGAACCCCAAGACTGGGCCCACCGACTGCAGGGAAAAAATGACCCTCACCTTAGTTCGGTTGACAATTTTTTTGACGCAATGGCCATCCTATTTGATGACCCACAGCGGGCAGCTTCTGCTGAAGCTACTTTGTACACGCTCCGGCAAGGCCGCCGAGCGGCGGAGGAGTACACATCTGAGTTTAGGCGCTGGATGGGGGACACACGCTGTAACAAGTTCGCACTCCTGCATCAGTTCCGTATAGGCCTATCAGAAGGCCTGAAAGATGAGCTCGCCCGGGTGGAGGTGCCTGAGACTTTAGAGGACTTAATTGCGCTGACCATTAAGATTGACCGTAGACTGCGGGAACGCAGGTTTGAGAGGTCCGGCCAGGGTCATGGAAATCCCTGGGGGTCACTTCAAGGTCCCAGTCAAGCACCTAGGCCAAACATCCAGAACTGGCCACCTGGAGATATCCCTGAACCCATGCAACTTGGCCTGGCACGGCCTAAACTATCTCCAGAGGAACACCAGCGCAGACGATCCCAGAACCTGTGCCTCTACTGTGGTGAAGCTGGTCATATGGTACGATCCTGCCCGCAGAAACTGAGTAAGTGCACCTCTTCTTCCTTATCCATTGGCAATGTTGGTCCATCCCAATACTTAGTGGTGCCCCTTTCCTTTCAGCTTCCAGAAAGGACCGTGGAAGTATCGGCCATAGTTGATTCGGGGGCATGCAGCTGCTTCTTGGACATTAATTTTGCTCACCAGCAGGGTATTCCTCTCCAATTGAAACAGAAGGGGTTCAATATTTATTTGGCCGACGGTTCCCGAATAAAATCGGGGTAGTAAACCAGGAACCCCCCTCCATCGCCACTGTCATTGCCGGCCAGCACCAGGAACTCCTCCGGCTGGATGCTATAGCTTCACCCCTCTTCCCAGTCTCATTCTGGGGCTCCCATGGGTTACGGGCCCAT